CAAATCCCCCCTCATTCTTCTCTTCTGCAGACTAAACAATCCCAGTTCCCTCAGCCTCTCCGCATAAGTCATGTGCTCCAGCCCCCTAATCATTTTTGTTGCCCTCCGCTGGACTCTTTCCAATTTCTCCACATCCTTCTTGTAGTGTGGGGCCCAAAACTGGACACAGTACTCCAGATGAGGCCTCACCAATGTCAAATAGAGGGGAATGATCATGTCCCTCAATCTGCTGGCAATGCCCCTACTTATACAGCCCAAAATGCCATTAGCCTTCTTGGCAACAAGGGCACACAGTTGACTCATATCCAGCTTCTCGTCCACTGTAACCGCTAGGTCCTTCTCTGCAGAACTGCTTCCTAGCCATTCGGTCCCTAGTCTGTAACAGTGCATGGGATTCTTCCGTCCTAAGTGCAGGACTCTGCACTTGTCCTTGTTGAACCTCATCAATTTCTTTTGGCCCAATCCTCTAATTTGTCTAGGTCCCTCTGTATACCTACCCTCCAGTGTATCTACCACTCCTCCCAGTTGAGTGTCATCTGCAAACTTGCTGAGAGTGCAGTCCACGCCATCCTCCAGATCATTAATGAAGATATTGAACAAAACCGGCCCCAGGACTGACCCTTGGGGCACTCCGCTTGAAACCGGCTGCCAACTAGACATGGAGCCATTGATCACTACCCGTTGAGCCCGACGATCTAGCCAGCTTTCTATCTACCTTATAGTCCATTCATCCAGCCCCACTTTAACTTGCTGGCAAGAATACCTCCATGAAATAATTTAAAAGGCTGAATTTTGTTACCTCAAAACTAAACCTAGGCCACTTCTTGGAGTGATGCAATTATACATGATGGGGCAAAAACCATTACAATGTGTATACGTGTTTATAGAGTGTGTCTGTGTATGTATGTGTATAGATATAGCTAGTACTTAGATTCTCACTCAAGGCTTATGTTCTTAAAATAACATGCACACTAGACTTGAAGTACACATCTCTTTATATACTCTATTACCTCATTGCCATTTACTTGTTGGTAATGAATGCCTGTGTTAACAGAACAGCATGCTGATGCATTTTTTCTGCCATTGTATGTAACATATTTTCTAATTCTTCTGCTCTATTCAGCATTTGACCCCAACGATAGGGGATTATGGTATTAACTCTCTACACAGCACACATTCTTTACAGACTTTCACTAAATACTGTAAGCCTGCTGCAGAGCGGAATAAAAGTGAAAGCATACCGTCTGGTCTTAAGCTGTGCACACAGAGGGTCGTGATCCAATTGGAAGGGAAGCAGAATTTTAAAAAGAAAGAGGTTTGACAAAATTTTAATCCTTGTCATTTTCATTTCTCTTACCCTGTGGATTTGGGTGATTTTATTTACACTGTCAGCTTGAGCCGAGGGATTGGAAATCAGGCTTTTATGGAGATTATTAAAAGTACATACAGTACACTAAAGGTTGGACCACTGGTATATGCTACTAAAAATATGAATGTGGATGCTCTGCATTGTGCATTTAAGGAAGAATGGTGCATTCTCCCTGTCAGGCAGGACTTAGCAGCTAGACTTGTGGTGATGATGATGAGGTGGATGGTGTAACGAGGATACTTATGACTGGATTCAAAGTGCTGAGTGTGTAGTTGAGAGTCTAGGGGTTAGACTGGTCCTTTAGGCACAACCCTGAGTCAGGGCTGATGCATAAGCCTCAACGCCTTAGGAGCAGTGGAAACCTTTGTGAATCAGAGACACCCTTCTGAGGCATAATTTTCATCCCACCTCCAACGATGGCCACATCCCAGAATAATATGGCACTTAGATTGCTGGTGCACAATGCAAAGAGCAGCAACCCTCCCAGATCTGTGCACCTACCTAACGGTAGCTACCACTGGGGTCTAGCTCTAGCCAGCCCACCCCAGCCAGCAGCGCTGGGAGGAGAGGTCATGGTGTATCCTCACAGGGTGTTGGAGCTCCCTTTTTGGCCCCCAGTGCTCCTGGAGGCATTATGCCTGAATCAGCCACAATGTCACTGGGCAGAGCACCTCTGCACTCCAAGCCTCTATTGTGGGCTTTTGCTGTAGCAGCCTAAATAGAGCTCTGGATAGGGGGAACTGCACTTTAAGGTGAGAATGCTAAGCCGGACTGACAAAAGCCACTGAACTCAAAGAGAGACTCTCAGTTCGTAACACTTTGGTCTAATTCAGTTGTTGGGTTTCGTGTGAGGGGGGTGGTGGTGGCCTGTGATACACAGGGGGACAGACTAGATGATCTGGTAGTCTCTTCTGGCCTTAAACTCTATGAATTTATTCAAATAAAAAAGAAAAACCTTAATGATGCAGCACACAGGACAAAAGTAGAATATCCAGAGACCTGTGCTCAACCTATCAAAATAGCATATAGGTGTCAAAGCAAATCACCCGTACTCCATTCGTAAGTGCCAAAATATGATTTGCAACAGAAAGCACCTCAGAGAGATTTAAATTTAGATCCAAAAGTGGGCTTGCTCTGGCCCCTAAAATATACAAGTGCATTTTGCAGCACCTTCAAAACATGATTCAGTGTTTAAAGAAGGCTGATGGCTAAGGATCTGATCTTACTCCCGCTACAGTCAATGACAAAATTCGAGTTGATTTTACATGGGAGCAGAGCAAGGCCTTCAACCCCAGTCCTGCAAAATAAACTCTCCACATGTGCAGGTGTATAGTTCCATTAGCAGCAGTTGGACTATTAGAAGACATGCATATGTGTATGCAGGACATGGTCTTAGTCATTACATTTTCACATAGATCCAGGTAATATGGATACTGAAAGAATCCTGCTTGAACCCTGAGTCAAGGGCTCACTACAGCAGACTTGTTCATTTCAAAAAGATACTTTTCTACTTCAGGAAAATATTGGCCTGAAATCAAAATATGTTTTTATCATGAAGCACCGTCTCCTGTAGCTCCACCACCCTGGCTTAAATGCCTGTTTTATGCATGTAACAGTGGCTTCTAATAAGGAGTGGAATGGGCTGAAGGGCACGCACAACTTGGATGGCCAACAGTCGAAAATCAACTTAAGCTGGAGCCATCTAACTGCAGTGCCAACAGCACAGGGTTTATGTAGATGTACTAGTTATGTAGCTTCCTAAGCCAATTTTCAACACTCTTAGAGTGTCTTCTGATAAGGGGGCCTGATACAACTACTGTTAAACTCAATGGAAGTCTTTCCATCTTATGTTATTATTTTTTGTGTAGTAGTAGTTGGATTGAGCCCATAGTGAAAATTTGGCCAGAGCTTTGAAAGTCCTTTTAATGTGGCAGGCTTAAGAAGTCCAAATTGGCATCTCATAAAAATCCAGGATGAGAGTGTCAACTTTAGCTTAGAATTTTCTGATTTAGGGTCTGATCCTGTCAGGTGCTCATTACCCTCAACTCCTGTTGACTATAAAAGGAGATGAGGCCGTTTAGCACTTCTTAGGGATTGCTCAATATCTTGCAGGATTGAGCCGTTTGTCCTTAATACTATCCCATTCCTATTACTCCCCTATTGCCCTGGGATAATCCCATGGCATTATTCCCATTATGCCACTTGCCATTCCCATTATGTTCTTTAACACTGATCTAAACCTATCTTGCGTATTTAATTTCCTTAGTAAAAATATGTGTATTTTTAATATTATGCATTTATCTGTTCCAGTTACATTTATGTAGCCTTCTAAAATGTGCCTTTATTATGCACACAGTATTATAATGTAGCTGGACTATTCTACAAATCTGGTGGATGAGAATAACTCTGAGTACTAGGGGAATCCATATGTCTAAACATTTTTAGCATGAGTACTGTTACCTGTTTGTAATCATAAAAGTGCCATTAAACAGCACGTAGTAAAACATTACACCATAGGCATCATTGCAACATACTTGCCTGTCTCATACAACTGGAATTTTTTTCCCTATCTTTAAACTGGAAAGAAAGTAAAGGGCAATCATAATCAGTTTGCCTTTAGTATCTGCAAGCCACAGAGTGGAGTATTGGGACCTTACAGACCAATATATTTGCAATTCATCTTTCTCCTTGATTAATTGCTAAGCTGCTGCACAACAGTGGTTTCAAAATGAATTCATCAGTAAGCCTTCTTCATTGGCACTGTAATGCTTTCTAGTATCAGTGCCACCTGGTGCAGTGACTGGCTCGACAAGTGAGCATCACCTGGCAGAAATTCGGTTAAGTCAAAATTGTTGAATCTGCTTCACACTTTACCATAGTACCAAACCCCTGTGTCAGTCCCCTCCTACCTAACCCCCCACCTCCAATGCACACACAGAGATGTAGTGATCACTTTGGGCATATAGGAGCTCCCAGGTCCAATTACTGACATACTTTAAAGCCTGGATGGTGCTTTTAGCCACAGCTGTAAGCAATTGGTGGTGCATAAGATGCACTACCCCAGCAGATATTTCACTGAAGCACCATTCTCTCCCTGTGTCCTACCTTCTTCCAGGAGGAGGTGGTGCAGTCATTTGCTACTGGCCTATGTCAGCATAAATTAAGTGGCTCAGCTGTGCTGGCCAGCCCATTGAAGGTGTATGGGGTAGGGACAAAGTTTCTACCCGTTCCCCACCCTCTCCAGCCCATCAGCTTCAGAGCCCTAGGAGAATAAAATGCACACGGTGCCCACTTACTCCTGAACTTAACCCAAGGTCTGGGTAACTTGTGCAGGTATCCAAGGGGGTTCTGCTTTCCTCATAGACCACTGTGGGATGGGAGGGGTAGTCCTAGTCCCAATGAGAGCCATTGGTGGGAGGGAGGAGTGGGAGGAGAGAGAAGGCTATTTAAGGTACAGCCCATGAGAGCGAGTCTCAGAGCTAGGGTTAACAGACTGGCTCACAGAGCTCATGCTATGGCACTAAAAGTAGCTGAGTAGATGTTTGGGCTCTGGATGGAGCTTGGGCTCTGATGCCCACACCTCTTCTTAGGCTCTAAGCCTGAAAATCTGCCATTTGCTGTGTAAACATACCTTTAGAACCAACAGATTCACTAGCTCTTCTTTCTTTCTTTCTTTCTTTCTTTCTTTCTTTCTTTCTTTCTTTCTTTCTTTCATATGGCTTAAAAACAGCAGTGTTAGATGTCCAAGTCTTGACTGGTGATCCAATGGATTGCTTCAGGTGATGCAGAATGGATGGCAGAGATACCATCAGGATGGTTTCCACTGACAAATGAACATGGGCACAGTATTCATTAAGAATGAGATGGAGGGCTGGAAGAAGGAGAGAGGGATGGGGTAGGTAAGAAAAAAAGCACTGAGAGAAGCTTAGTTTGCTGGAGGTTTAGAGCCCCAAAGCCTTGAGGTGGATGGAAGGCATGAAAGGAAAAGTCAGGGAAAGATATTTGTTTAATAACTATTGAAGTCTAAAAGGTATTAATACCTATAGGCATGTGACCCACTTCCTTCTTTTCATACTCTTTTGTCTTCTTTTAAGATTCCTCTGGCCCCAGTTTTTCCACTTTCAGCTGGGTCCCTTCACTTATCCCATTAGTTACTCAAGAAAAGTCAAGTAAGGTGTCATGAGGTACAGTAGCCTTTTCTCTGGGAATGGCAGAATGTGATTCTCTCTCTCTCTCTCTCTCTGCCTTTCCTCTTCTACATTCTTCTGGTTCCTAAACCTCCTCTCTGATTGGCTCGCTCTTCTATCTCCACCCCCTTTTCTCTACACTCTTCCCCCTGCTCTTTCCCTCTCGTTTTCACCTCTTACTCTGTGACCCCTTCCATACCATGACTTCTTGGTCTTGGGGCTGCCTCTTCATTTTCTGTGCACCTTTCTAGCTTCATCCCCAATCACATAATGGTAGGGTTAGCCATCCATTCAATTTTCCTTGCATTTTTGCATGATCTTCTCATTCCTACAATGTGCAAGCTATGCTAATGCACTTCCCACATCCCTGCTCCTCTCATCTGACCATTACCCTGCTCCCACATCACCAAGGATTGCAGAGAAAAATAGCTATGCTATTGGGTGAATAATTGTCTAGGTGTCCTGTCTTCCCTTCATAATTTTTTAGCTCAGATGGGACCATTATGATCATCCAGTCTGACCTCCTGCAAAACACAGGCCTTCAGGAGATAGGTTCTCCATACCTGGATAGGAAACAGCAGCCCTACTTCATACAATCCTATTACCATGGCCCAGTGCATCAAAGACAGGCTTCTGAGGAAATAAAGCACAGTCCTGTTTTATGGAATCTTGCAACAGGATTTTTGATGGTCACTTACAGAAAATAGTGAGAAAATACTACATGTACTCCTTTGAAAAGTGTATTTCATACCAAAGTCAAAAAGAATGTACATGATCATACACTAGCTATTGGAAAGATTTATTATTACTATTAATATTTATTTATTTGTAATGCCAAAGCTACATGCTTAAAAAGCATACCCAGCTTTTCTTTTGCTGTTAGATCTGCTCACGAGTACAGGTAGATTTCACCTCCATAAAATTACAGTAACTGCCATAGCAAAAATAAACAGGTTGCTCTCATAAAAATAAACTAATACATAAGAAAAGTACATATTTAGATTATTGACTAGTATTCTCTATTGGCCTAAATGTAATTGCCATTAAAGTTAATGGTGTTTACATCTCTTCCCTAGGGCTTCCTAACACCAGCACTTGGGGATGGTTCATTAATATGTCAGAACCTGCCACCTATTGAGCCAACCAACCCACTCTCTGAAGACCTACAGTAATCAGCAAAAGCTTCTCATCTAAGTACCGACCTAGTCTGACATGTCTTAACTCATAAGTAAGGCTGTGTGTCTGTCATGGAGGTCACAAAAGTAATGGATTCCGTGGCTTTCCGTCACTTCTGCAGCGACCAGTGTGTCTGGTCTCTAGGAACAGCTGCTCGGGCAGCCCCAGGGACAGCCACACTGGCTGCTGCTGGAGTGGCCCTGCAGGCAGCAGTTGGGGGGCAGCCCCAGCGTAACCTGAGCAGTCCCCTGTAGGCCCCCCAGAACAGCGGCCCCCCCAGGGCTGCCCCAGCTAAGATTTAGTCAGGGATATTTATAGTAAAGGACATGGACAGCTCACGGACCCTGAGTTTTTGTTTATTGCCCATGACCTGTCCATGACTTTTACTAAAAATACCCATGATAAATCGTAGCCTTACTCATAAAATGTGGTAGGGCCACAGCACAAAGTGATGTAGCTTCAGGTCACATTTCTATAGAGAAGGTACGTCTTTCTCAACTCAGTTCACATCACCATCTCCCCTGGCAGTACAGCCACCTTAGCAACCATGCTGCCAGTGGTTATGCCCCTTGGTGCCTAGACGTAACCCCTCTGAGGGCTGGGGGGGTTGACAACATAGAGGAGAATTACTGATGGTTCAACAGGAAACATGCTGCTCCACCCCTAAAAGCCGCCGCCTCCTCCCCCCCCCCCCCACCTATACCACAGTCTGAGGCAGGATGGAGCATGTAGTGAAGGTGCAGGTTACTCTCTTCTATGCTTCCCAGGGTTTTAGTGCCCCAGTTTACCCATTCTAAATTGGGAAGTGCATGGCCCCAAATCTGTATTAATTTAACTCTGTTTAATCAGGTTGAGCTAATAGAAATGTCCAGAAAGGTTTGAGATCTGCAGCATCCTTACCTGCTGTCTTATGCAGCTCAGTGTTAGAGTATCATGCCGACCAGTCAGCCAGAGCTGTGTGGGGGGGGTGGGGGGGGAATACTCCCTGAAGAGATTTAAAAGGCCCTACAGACACTGTGTGTTGTAGAATTTGCAGAGACTGAACAAATGGCAAGGAGTCACAGCAAACGGAAACATGCAGCTGCTCGCGCTCCGAAGGGAAGCCCACTCATCCGTCTGGTGCAGGTAGCCCCTATATAATATCCTCAGGAATCCACGGAAACTCTTGTTCTGCCACGGTGAGTAACGCATTCCCTGGCTATTCTGTGCCTGGAGAGAGCCTGCTTTGCCATGGAGAAGGCCCCCATGGCACAGACCCCCTCTCCAGAGCCTCACATCAAGGGAAATCTGAGAGGGTTTTAGGTACAAGGTGGAAGAGGATGTGTGGAACACGAGATTGTGGATCTGTGCAGCACCATACTTTATTCTGGACCTGGGTTTCCATGTGTAAATCCAGGCTGGGAGCAGGGAAGTACAATTTAGAGTTGTGTTACCTCCCACTGAGACCCTTGTGTGACTGCTACTGAGAAGCCTCAGGGGGACCCTGCCCATGGCTGGGTAGTTCCTCCAGGAGCCCTGATGCCAGGAATGGTGGGGGGTGCAGAGGAGCAACAGCCTTCCCTCCAAGTCAGCTCCTGTCTCCACAGAACAGTAGTGTTCTCTCCTTGTGGATCCTACAGGCAAGAGAGGGTACAGCATTGCAATTCCAAAGCAAGCAGCCCTTCTCACCAGAGGGGCAGTCTCCCAGTCCCCATGTGTGGGTTTTTATGCAGGAGGCAGTAATCTAGCTTGGAAGTATTCCTGTGCTATCACTTTTCTGTAGTAATTTACCGTGTCTTTCCCCCAAGGATAGGGGCTGCAGGACTCTCCCCTGACTCCGCCCACCTTGCCTCAGCCGCCATGTTCTCTTGTCTGTGGAGTGTGCCATTCTTTTGCAGATCTCCTTGCACAAGCCCATCTCTGTGCTGTAAGCTGGCGTGAAGGCAGCATATCAAGTAGGAGGTTTTGGCTTGTGTGTAGAAGTTGGAGAGAGGATTTGTAGTAAGTTGCTACACTTTTTGGCGTGCAAGCCCTGGGAGCATATGGCTCATTGCTTGCAAAATGCTGGTATTTTAAATTGGGGGAGGAATAGAGCATGGCACATTTATTTGACTTCTTCATTGCCACTATTTTTGCCAACGCCTCCCTCCCTCCTCTATTCTAGATCATACTGTTCCATCCATTTTTAAAGAGAACTCCCCATTTACTTCCAAACTCATGGCAGGAGATGGTCCCCTACTAGACATAATAAAGAAATCTCCTGCTCAGTAATACCCAACTAGAAATTTCCATCAATTCAGAGCTGAAGTGAGTACGCAGCAAATGCGTGACTTGTTCTGCTCATTCCTGAACTCTGTCTGCAGCTGGCCTTGCTCAGACTTTCAACACACATCTTTTCTTTTCCAAGCAATCAAAACTTTATGGACTGTTATTTCCTTCCTCTCAACCTCCCAAGAGCTAACACCAGCACACTTGAGATGCTGCAAACTTGTCACTTCCACCTTGAACTAGTGGTTGACCTGAGCAGAAAGATGCCAGGAAATGAAATCGCATCCTTAAGTACAGACAGAATAACTGTGCTAATCCAAGCACAGCTCTGTTAAGCCACTACAGTAGCTGTCAAAATGTGGTTGAAATCACTCCCCCCACCCACCCGAGACATTTAATGATGCTGAAAAGTGCAACATATTGTTTTTTTAAAAGTTAATAAAATAGTAACTAAAGGTGACCTGCGAGACATTAATTTACTTGGATTTTCAAGATGCTTTTGATAAGACCCCTCATAAAAGACTATTAAGGAAAATAAATAATCGTGGGGTTAGGGACAAAGTCTTTGTTGTGGATTAAAAAACGGTTAAGCAACAGGAAACAAGGGGTTGTAATGAACACCTGCTTCTCAGATTGGAGAGAGGTTAATAGTACGGTACCACCAAGAGTCTGTATTTGGACTAGTGTCATTTAATAGATTTGTGATCTGAAGGAGGACATGGACAGGGCTAGTGATGATGACAACATTGCATTTCAGTGGTCTCAGTCCTGCAATCCGTACTCAGATTAGCAATGAGTGCTCGTGCAAGTAGACCTATTGAATTTAGGTGGACTTTGAGTAAAGATTATTTGGCTGTAAAGGGTTTGCAGGAGTTGTCTTTTGGTTCATAACAACAGTGGAAGATTGTGAAGAACTCCAGGTGTACTTAAATGCACTGGCAAATTGGGCCACATGACGACTGATGAAATTAATCTGGGATAAGGGTAAAGTAATACATCTAATGAGAAATAGACTCAATGTTTACCAGTTGGGTCCCAACATGTGGGATTCTTTAAAGAAAGAGACCTAGGAGTCATTGTGTGTAGATCATTGTGGGCCCAATTCCATCACTCTTATTCACACCAAATAGTGCTTTATTGGGCAAAAGGTCCAATTTATTTAAATGGTGTAAGAATGGCCGAAGCAGGCCCTAAGTTTGTCTGCCCAATGTGTAGAAGACTCTACAAAATAGCAAATAGGATAGTTGGTTGTGTTCATAAA